ATATTGTTCTGGAAGATGGCTTGTCTGAGCTCGAGTTTGATTTGATCCAGGCACCCTGGTCCCGGGAATCTATTCTTCACTTGGTTGTCAAAGCTGGAGGTCCATAGGTTTGGATCCTTTCAAATCCTTGGGGCGTGAGACTCGGAGCTCCAAGTTTTGATGCCTTTTCTTGGCAATAATATATTGCTCTGAAACCGTAAAAGCTTACTCACCCGCAAACAAAACTCCAGGGTTGCACCAGAGATCCAATAAACCTGTGAGAGCCTTGACCAAACTCAAACTCAATCAGCTGAGAGCAAGCTTTCTCAAAAGTTTCCAAAGAGCAGATGGCATAACACAAAAAAGTATACCAGGTCACCAACTCATCACATCACAAGTTGCATTGTGGTCACTCCACGCCTTGGATGTTGATGAACTACAGGCCTCCATTTTATCTTGGAAAATGCTTGAGGCCAAAGGGTGGCAAAGATGAGGAATGAAGCGATCTGGACTAGACAAGAGTATAAGTAAAATGAGCACGAGAAGAACCATACATACCACGGAAAAGCAGTGCTTGTGCTTGTGAGCCTAGTTTGAAGATGTCTAAGACTGAGAAGAAAGACCATGCTGCTCGACTCATAGAGCATGCCCGGCAGCAGCAGACTGCCCGGGTAAAGAGCCCTTTGGATTGAAAATGTGCAGCAGTAGCGTATAATGGCAATGGCGGTGGTTTTCCATGGCATCGTTCTTGAGCCTTTGACAAGGAGGTGCCATCTAGCAAAGATTTGTAGGAAGGACCTTAAACTTTAAAACCCATAAAGAAATATGATAAATTAAATTCTTCACTTTCATAATAAAATGACTGTAATAACATTTGAAAATCATGTAATTATACATGAACCTTCTAGACACTCTTTTGTCATAAAGTAGTTCACTTTTTTGCAATACACTTTTGAGATTAATATTAAAAGCATCTATGTGCAAAATGAAAAATTGAGTGTAGTCAACATATGCCAAATTAAGGGAGTTGTCAATTCTATGAGATTTGCAAATACAATATTTAGACGAAATAAAAGATGATGTTGATATCTTTAATAATGCTTGCAATTGTACAATATGATTAGAAAGATTATAGAATGTTATTCAAACTAAATAACATCACTAAAAACTTATACAAATTAAATAATGCATGAAAAACAATTTTAAGAACATCCTCCTTAATCATTAGAATTTGTTAATACCTAAAAGCCAAATACTTAGTGAATTAATGACTCAAGAAACTGTGAACTTCACTACCAACTCGAATGATGTTGCTGATCCCTGGAACTTTCCTCACTCGCCTCGACTTCATCAGGTTCCAGATCGTTGAGGCCTTGCTGAGAGAGTCGCAGCAAAGATCTTCGAGAGTGCTGGAGCCCTGCTACACAACTGCCTACGATGTTCTCTCAAACATGGACTTATCGATTGGGAGGTGGGACACAATCGGCCATGGAGGACTCAAGCTCCCAGCAGCAACATCCAGATCACGACATCTGGAAGGAATGGCATCGATTTTGACGAGCTCCTCTGCACTCAGAGTTCTCCTGGATCGACCCAGGACATCGATCATGCAGAAATAAAGAGTGCTGCCGTCTCCTCGCCACCATCCCAAAGTATTGGCTGTTCAAGACGCAGTGTTCCCAGGTCGGCTGACCGACATGGCTGCACAAAGTTAGAACGCTCCGGAACGTCAACTCGCCCGACTTGACACCCTCGAGATTCATAAGCTGGAAGACTTCCACTGCTCAATCGTAGTGCCCGTTTTGAGCTTTGGTCGTCCAGGAAACCAGGGTGCGCATTTTCATGCTCTCAGACATGCTCCTGGCGGCGCTCAAGTTGAAACTGGCGTGAGAGCTATCCAGCAGACAATGGTCTTGCGCAAGATCTCGTGAACGGCCTCGTCAAAATGCCCATTCTCGCAAGGAACCACGGTACTGGATTCTTCTCCGGGTATTTGATCGAAGATGTTCTTCGTGAGGGCGACGAAGCCTTGGTGGCTGTCTTCATTGCCGTCCACGCACCACGTCTTGATCTGGCATGAAATCAAAGATCTCTTTTGCAGTGGCCAAATCCCCCGTCTGGTATTCACCGCTGTGCTGGTGAAGGGGAACCGATGGAACGTCCTCTCATTCTGGGCAGTAGATTCGTCTAGTACACGAGATCCTTGGCCGGCATTTTGTCGAAGGTCGATTTCGCTGCCACAATTTGCCCCTATCGGCATTATCATCAAGTTCCACGGCGCTCTGAGACGCAATCAAACATAGACTCTCAGTCGCGGGTCCGGGATGCCGCCACATACGCGGTGATCATCGCGTTCCAAGAGAGAATCACGGAACTCCGTGTTCTTGGAAAGCTCGAGATGCCCGGACTGGGCATACAGTGTAATGAGTGAGTTCCAAGCAACCACGTCATGATCCGGCATGGAATCGAAGATCTTGTTTGCCTGGCCGAGATTGGAGATCCGGATGTAGGATTTTACGACTGTGTTGCGGGACACTGGGGCACTCAATCGAACAAGATTGACACCGCATAGATCGAATGCCCCGTGTGTTCTTGCTGCTCGCATTTGCCAGTGAAAGGGAATATCGCGCGATCCAAGAGCCTGAACCCTGCGCGGAGTAGGCGTGGATCATCGTGTTCCAGGTCCTGGCGTCGCGCTGGGGGATCAGGTACGATAAAGCTTCAGCAACGCTGCCGAGAGCGCAAGAGCGACAGCCAAAAGGCAGCGAAGAGCTGGTGTAGAGAATGTCGCTCTGGCCAGCGACTTTGCAGGGAGGAAATGGCGGTGGAGAAGAATGCTTCCTGTTTTTTGATTGGGTCTCTGGCTGTGGATTTGAACCTGTGGCCTTGCCAATATATTCTAGCCAGATATCCGGCCATCAGGGCGAGCCCGCATTAGCCTTGAATCTAATAAATGCATGCCTTAAAGAGGTCAGGACTCTTTGCACGTATTAGCTTTAGAATTACTATGGTTATCCAAGTAGTAAGGTACCATCAAATAAATTATTATTGATTTAATGAGCTATTCACAGTTTCACAATACAAAGCAATTTATACTTACACATGCATGGATTAATTTTTGAGACAAGCATATGACTGCTGGCAGGATCAACCAAGTAGCTATTGTCTGAGGATGCAAGGCACACAAGTCCTAACACTGAAAGATGGAGCAAAGGCAATGCATAGCCAATATCAATTAAGATGCCACAGCTGTAAGGGTCATGCTTCAAGTGCCAAGGCAAGCCAAAACCCTTAGTAGCTAAGTGAAGCTTACGCATGGTGAGAACACATGCGCACAGCCTTTGCCCACCCTAGCCGGACTTGGACTGGACCTTGGCTACCTAATGCATGAGCCCCTCTACTTGAGCAGGTTCCCGTCCAACTGGACACTAATTGCTTCTTAACGTATACCATAATGTAAACAGCAGTGCAGGAATTCTTTGTTTTCTGGGCGCAAATTCTGGGCATGGCGCTCAGCTCGTTGCTGCTGTCAAGCTCAAGAAAGAAACCATTCTCTTCTCGATGGAATGAAACTCTCACCTGCTCATGTTCTGGGACACGTTTTATTTAAAAACCCAGAGGCCATGGCAAACAAATGGACTCTGCATCTCAATCTGAGCAAGCAGCCGATGCAAACGCTACTTCTGAGAAGCAAAGTATAAGCATGCTGCTGCAACAAGAATCAACAACATCCGTTTAAGATATTGTTCTGGAAAATGGCTTGTTTGAACTCGAGGTGGACCCTGGTTCCATCTATTGTCAAAGCTGGAGGTCCATAGGTTTCAATTCTTTCAAATCCCCGGGGCATGAGAGTCGAGCTCCAAGTTTGATCCCCTTTCCTAGCAATAATATATTGCTCCCAAACCGTGAAAGTTTACTCACCCACAAGAAAAACTCCAGGGTTGCACCAGAGATCCAATAAACCAAGAAAGCTCTCAAGGAAAATCCTAGATTCAACATAAAGTCACACCCCATGGAATTGGTTGTGATCTTGGTGCAACTAGCTAGTGAAGCTTGTCTTCAAACACATGGTTTTAGTTGCCAAAAGTATGGCCATGATGTCTTTCACACTATTGTCCAATCTGGTGAGAGCCTTGATGGAGCTCAAACTCAATCAGCTGTGAGCAAAAAGTTTCCAAAGGGCAGATGGCATAAAATTCTAGCCAGATATCTGGCACTAATTGCTTCTTAACGTATACCCAAGTATATATTTGTAAATAATGTTTTTAGTGTAAAATAATTACATAACAAACATTTCACCACACAATGTACACTTAAGTTCCAACTTAAACTCTTTTGTAGAAATCTCCTTAAAGCACTGCTCATCACCCCCTTGCAACATGGTTTCAAATTCATGCAACTGCCTGATAAAACCATTGTTGGGACTAACACTCTTCCTACACTCTACCAAGCTCTCGAGTGCCTCATCAAAACTACACCCTTCCTTCCACATCAAGTACGCAATCAGCACTGCTGCGCTGCGCGAGCGCCCGCCAATGCAGTGGACGAGCACCATCCCCTGCGCGAGGCCTTCGTCGATAAACTCAAAGCACTCTTGCAAGACAGGGAGAATATCTTGGTCCTCTTTATCCTGCAAAGGGACTATCTTGCGCACCAGCGCCTTGCCCACCATGCTCGGGCAAAACTCCTTGAGCTTGGCTTCCACGCTGTGAAACTTATGGAAGCGATGGGGTGGTACCATGCCGATGAAATTACAATTTGGTTGAAGACATACTGGTGCCAGGGACAAGACGTGACTGAATCCTTGCATGAACCCGCAAAGATAAATCGCTGCATCGTTGGAAGTGCCAATGTAAAGCCTGTCGCGAACTTGCTTCATTTTTTTTGGTAATCCTTAACCTAAAGAAAAAGGATGGTCCGGTCGTTTATATAGGACGCCGCCACGTGGCGTTGGATCCCGGTGTTAGTATGAACGGCTCAGAATTGCTAGGGTTTTCTTCCAATGTTGCGCATAGCGGGGGATGGCATGGTGGCCAGGGTCGTCGTCCACGACGGGCGCGCCTTCAAGGTCGGCGACCAAGATCGAAGACGAGAGAAGGCTGATGGAGGAAATCGAGAGGCGCTGGAGGAATCACCCTCTCAACCGCGGGAATATCAAGGTATGTTCGGTCATAGCCTTCTTCAGCTCTATGTGCGATGCGGCGGCTCACTACCTTCTTCCCGATTATGACTTGGGTGTTTTGGACGAGGATAGCGCGGTCCTCGTGACAACGGAAGTGCCTCCTTTGGCAGCGGATGTTTGGTCCCGGCTTGTCCCTGGGACGAGCGAGCCCGGCATCCTCAAGCTCTACTTGGGGGTTGAACGGACAGAGAATGAAGCGTACGACGACGAGTTCTTGAGACGGCTCATCCAGCCGAGCTTGGGATGGCGGAGGAAGTTCTAGCTATGGACGTGGAGGCAGTGTCCTACGACTTCGCACACTACATGCTGCACCTTGATGCCCAGGACATCGAGCTGCAAGTAGGCTCTGGCGGTTGCACGTTCGTGCTAGATTTCTCGGAGGTCAAGGAGTTCACCAGTCCAGCCAGTGCAGCAAAAGAAATGGTTAGGAACCAGAAATTCCTGCCCACGGGAGCTCTTGGCGAAGAAGAGGTGGGCTACAAGCTATGGACCAAGTTTTCTCGCGGGTACGAAGCTCTTGCGCGGGCTGCTGGTACGTCTAGTGAACTTGCTTTGCTATTTTCTTTGCTCACGTTTGGATGTGTTTTTACTTTGCAGGAGTTCTTGACAAAGCCCAGAAATTCCTGGCTGTTCTGTGTGACGAAACGCGACGACTGAGGCTTGCTTGACTTTCTAGTCGGCAGCATCCTTGTGTACATAGATCTGATAGCGCAGGGATCGAATTCGGCCCATCGGACAAAGCTGAGTCTGAAACATACTTTTCATTGTACTTTATAGACATACGAGTGTGGGAAGATTTCTTCCTTTTCCAATCTCTCTCAATACATGTGAAGAAAGTTAGTGCGAGTTCTAATGCCGGAGGTGAGGGGCAGAATGCACTAACAGCTTGTGGCGTAGATTGCTCAAGTCAGAGGGCAATGCGATCATACTGCTATAGGCAGACAAGCTTGCTAGCTCTTGGTGGCGAGCGACATTGACCACCAGTTTGATCCTCCTGGGATCACTGCGGTGTGGCTCACGTATTCCTCGTCCGAGCGAGGGAGCTCATAGTTGATCACATCCTGGGACGCTCGGTTGTACACGTTCGTGACGACAACCGAGAGGCCATGCTCGTAAACTTTCTGCACACAAGCCATTGTCGTGAGCTCTCTGCCATCCGACTTCTAGCGTTACCTCTAGGATAGCGTCGTCTTGGGAATAGACGGGATACGCCTCGTAACCACGCTCCACCATGCCGCTCACGACTTCGTCCACCTTTGCAGCCGAGTTGCAGAAGACGGAGTAGTAGCGGGGGAACGACCTCTGGAGTTCCTCCCATCACTCCAGCTCCAACCTGAAACAAGCCTGGTGAGCCAAAGAAACATGGGTACAACTCCCGCTCGTCACCTTTGAGATCCTGGCCTCGGACATGCCCATCTCGCGCGCACAGCATTGCACGAGTTGAGTGAGAGCGTGCACCTTGCTCTCTGGCGCAACCAGAAGCGGTGGCGGGGCACAAGGAAGTGCATGTCGGACAAGTCCGGGGATCAAAGCTACTAGCCCGGACCAGTCCTGACACACCACATTGTCTCCACGGGCAGAAAAGCTCCTCATGATCCTCGCAAAAGTTTTATCTCCCCACCCAGGACAGGATCTGGCCTCTGAGAGCAGATTGAAGAGAAAGAAAAGGAAGAAAGAGGAAAGGTTACCGGGCAACTTGGAGGCCAAAAGCTCCTGCAACGTCGAGCTGCAAGAGAGGCGGTCGCGGTCGGAGGGAGAAAACCAGCGCTCTTGTCGGGTCGTCATTCGGGACGAAGGAAACGACGATGGGAACAACCGGTGGATGACGCCCGTGGCCTGCTCGCGGAAAGAACCGCCGATGTCGCCATCGACGAGGATGGTAAGCACGCCCATCGATTGGGAAGGGAGCTTGTCGAGCGGTGTAGCTATCAGGAAATCAAGGCTTGGGATTAGCCATTCTTGGTCGGGTAAGCTCGCGGCTATCTTATCCTCGCCAATCTCCGACCTCACGAGTGAAACCAGGGGCTCAACCTGAGAGAAGAATCAGCGAGTTTTACATTCGAGATGGACAACACAACCTTTTCGGTAGACGTGAGCACCAGGATGAAACGCCCCGGCCGCAGCTTGCTCGAATGTCCCGCCCACCCCAAAACCCTAAACTCCTCCACTCGAACGCGCGACCTTTAATTTCAAAAAGAAAAGCAGCAGGATTGTTAGAGGAATTGGAGCGGGGGACTTCACGAGGTGTTCTCACGCGAGGATTGCGGATGGATCTGCTTCCGATCCATGGAGGATTGCTGGCGAGCATGCCCTTCTGTGCCAAAGTAAGAAAGAAGGAAAGCATGTTGTTAGAAATACGCCACTGATCACCAGGCACGGCAGTGTGTATTCCGCCATCGTTTGAGGAAGGCCGCACAAATATTTTTGAGCGAGCAACGAGCTTGAACGAGGTGGGATCCTTTTCAGCAAAGACCGTGCTGCACCCAGCTCGCAGATTTCATGCTCTTGCCAGCTGCTTCCTAAGCATTGTCCGGCACTGTGGCATTTCTAAGTGGGATTCCCAAGTGCCGCAATCAAAACGTTTGGAGCTATTACTTTTCTTTGGCACGCCTTGCCAAACAACCTGGATCGAACCTTCCAGCCCCCTAGCTTCAATGCACACGATCTAAGATAGATTCTATAGATCCAAGTGGTGAGGGAAGGTGGCTACAAGTATTTAGACATTATTGTAAACACTATAATGACACCCTGTTTTATTGGCCTCAGATCTAAAGTTCCATCAATTCCCTTGTGTAAGTAAAGACCTTTATGTATAAGTAAAACCTGGAAGGTGTCTGTGTATTGAGGAGAGAAGACTTCCTCCTTGTGTTAGTGACTTGGATTTCAAGACTTAAAAGATTGGAGCCTCACAGAAGATTTTGTTCTTGACAGTTTTGATTTCTTGTTTAGCCCATAATGTTTAGATTTTCTCTTTCTTTTGATCTTCATTACATATCCTTCTTTTGCCATGCTATGCTGTCATTGATCAAGGAGTATATAACTTCAAGTTGCTAATGTTACTCCATTGAATCAAATTTTTTATGGTTTGGGGCATGTATCATATTAGTGTTATGCCCATCTTTGATGTGTTGCCACCTCTAACTATGATTACATAATTTATTCTGTTTTTGGTCTTTTGCCATTTCCCATTAGTATAAAGTATGATTGTGATATCGATTTACAAGTTATAAATGATGTAGTTAGTTTTTCGATTATGATGAGGAATTTGATTATTATAGAAATAGCTTTAGAGATGAGTGGAAGATTTTGCAATGTAAGTATAGAAACACTATCTTATATTCATAATGTTTCTTCCTTATGTACAATATTTCATTTTCCTGATATAATGATTCTTATTCTTAGTTCAATGTTAAGTTGAGTGTTTTCTATTTTTATATTAATTTAAATGTTGAGCATGCGTGTGAAGTTGAAAATCTTGTTTATGTTCCAAGGGTTGAATCACTTTTATTAAAGTTGCAAATTGAGTACATGTCCCCAATTGTGAATGCCACTAAAAGACTTTGTTTTACCATTGTTGTTGAAGGCTTTATATGTTTTGAGAGTGAACATTTCTATAGATTTTTTTGTCTCAAGTGTTGAATTATATATTAAAGAAGTTGAGTAGTGTGAATCTTTTACTTATATTGTGGTATTTTATAATAGGAGGTTTTCTATTTCCAAACTTTGAGCACATGTCCTTTTTATTTCTCTATTTTTACATTAACAGCTGTTGAAAATTCCTTCTAATACTTTTATATCCATTTTTTCTCCACAATATCCTCAATTTTCTCTTTGCTTTGACACTTTAAATTTTTTTTCCTTCAGAGAATAAGGTAAAGAAGACATATGGGAGTTTAGCCTTGATGATGGAATGCGGACAAACAAATACAATAATGGAGTGAGGATGAGCATAATAAATTTGAACAGATCCTCAATATAGTGAGGTTGAATAAATGTGATAGTGGAATAAAGCTAAACATAAATAGCAAAATAAAGACAAATATAACACATTTGAATGGAGCTGGTGTTTTAAATTTTTTATTTTTATTTTTTTTGAAGAGGGGATTAGGAGGATGTGAAGGATAAATAAAGTGAGTCTGACCTCCTATATTTAATGTTAGACAAGGATGAAGGTTGTGAGTTTTAAGTTAACATAAGTCTCAAATGCTATTGAAAGGAAGACGCAAAGACATGTTCTACTTATGGTTGAGAATGAGTTAACATCGATCATCGATAGGTAAACTTAGAGATAGAATGTATTATTTGTTACAATGGTACTTTATGAATTGCTATCGAAGTCCCTTGCTTTGGTTTAAAGTTATGATTTGAACTTTTAGCAGCTGTACATAAAGCTGTAATTAGTTCATTAAGATTCAATAGTCAATTGATGTTTGTGCCATAACTTTGAGTTTTGTTTAAATTATGATTGTTAATAATTAGTGTGTAAGTGACTTACTTTAGTCCCTTAACCACACTTTTGACCATTTGAAAGAGACTCACTCACAACTTCCATAAATTCTATTCATAACTTGGGGACATGCTAGCCCTGTAAATAGCATTTATACCACTTAACTTTTGCACTTAGCCCATGTGCTTTATATGTCTGATCCCATGACTGAGAAAATACTCAACACTAGAACTGATCAAAGACTTTGCCAATGAAACAAAAGAAAAATTTTCAACTTCATGGATACACTCAACATCTAGATTAGTATGAAGAGGACAAAAAACACTCAACTCAACACTGGACTAAGAATGAAAATTATGAGAGTCACAAATGATCAACGTGCTAAGAGAAGAAAACATTGCAGATGAGGAAGAAATACTAGAAACATGAAACGATGGCTCAAGCCGAGAAATAAAAAAGGTTGGGAAAGAGTAGAAAGGAAAGAAAAAGGATCAGATGGCAAATTAAAATATTGACACCTACCCTGCAAAATCTCCACTTCATCTTCAAAGTTATCTCCATAATAATCAAGCCCATCATCACACTTTGGAATCCACTTAAGCTCATACATATTGTTTTCTCATAAACTTGATCCTCAAACATTTTCCAAGAATTGGACTACATTATCCATAGCTTGCCAATCAATATCACAAGCACACTCCACATCAATAAGAGATGGCAAAACACCGAGAAAAAGACAAACTATGTAATCACGTCCTACAAAAGTTGGAGACGACAACACATCAAAGATGGGCATAACACCAATATAATCACACCCTATAGCACCAAAAGTTCGATCTAACAAAGTAGCTTAAATGACATATTCCTTGATCAATGACAGCATGGCATAGTAGAAGAAGAAAATGCAATGAAGATCAAAAGAAAGAGTAGATTTAAGCACAATGATAGCTAGAATTTTAAATCTTGCAAAAAACTAATACAGATCTAGATCTAAAAGAGAATGAAGAAATAAAAATAAAAAAACATAATCTCAAACACTAGAGTAAAGCATTGCCAAAAAACTTTACCCTTTAGAGACATTATAATGCCCCTCACTTCCACCAATGTGAGTGCTTAGGATATAGGAATAGATATATTAATTGGGGTTTAAACCCTTGCTTATATATAAGAATTAATGGATTAGATTCAATCCCAAATGGACTATCCATATGCTATAATACTATAATTAGTGTATTACTTAGCTAGGGTAATATATGTATATACATACATGTATTTATACACCTTATAACATAAAAGCTTTGCTGGCCAAATAAACCACCTTTTTTACCACATCCTGTTCCAAAGAAGCAGTCAACACTTCTACATACACGGAAGACCCTCAAGAGCTCTGGATTTGGCTTTCAATCTTCTGCCCTTGTTATGCTTCAAAGACACGATTCTAGCTGCTCCAATCTTGCAACTCACCAGCCCTTTATCATGAAGGCATGTGAAGTGTCTTCTGTGTTCTCTTCTTGAGTAAAGGTTTTTGCTCCAGAGTGCGTAATTAAGTGTTTTATTCACTATATGATCAAAAAACACATATCTGTTGGCCCCATTCTACAGCAACTAAAGGCACAAGTTCTTACACGTGAGTGAGAAGATTAGCATTCATCATGCTCATTGCCCTCAATCTCCTAACCTACAAGTGGTTTTTTAGAAGCAGTGAGACATAGCTTAAATGATAGAAAAGAAAAACTCTGTGAACAACTTCCTCACATGATCAAGCCGCTATCAAATGCTTCAGTGAGTGGCCACTTACAAAATGCCCAGTCCAATGGTAGATCCGATTGTCCAAAACCAGAGATCATCAGGATGGAGATGGTAGTACGAAGATCCAAATGAAAAGAAATGTGAGGAGCTATACCTCAAATGAAAGCTTCCCACAAGACATGCAAATATGAGAACCAGTGCTTACCCAGCATTGTGTGATCATATGATGGGGAGACGAGCAGAGAGGGAGGAGAGGCGGCTGGAGGGTGCTTTAGTAGGGGGTGGGACGCTGCTCCCAGGCGGGGTCGTTTTGTGGAACATTGAAGGGTGACATTTTTCTTTCTTTTGAAGGGGTTGAGATTTATCTTTCACCTTGAAAGTCTATTAAAAAGTATAAACTTCAAAGTATAAAAGATAATCAAAGTTAAATGATATTTTATAAGCATAAGTATTTACCATCAATTACATTATCCTACTACATTATGTTTAATTCTTTATTAATAAGAACACTACATTATTTCAGCCTTTCTTTTGAAAGGTTTAATAATAAATCACCTTTTTATAAAAGGTAAAACACTTTTTTTTTAAGGGTACAAAAAGCTGTCCAAGTTCAGGCATGTTGGCAGTGTGGAATCTTGGGTGTGACTAGGGAATGCGACATTTTTAAGGAAAGAAAAATGACATCCTTTTAGATTTGAGAAAGAATTATGTATTAAATTTAATGAATGATGAATTAACTAGGAGCAAACATTGTGTCTTGCTCGTGTTGTGATTTTTCTAGCACTTGTTCCTGTAAGAAATTAGACTACATATGTTTAGCTAGAAAAACCACAAACTTTGTAAAACCATACCATCAAAGTGACATTTTCTTGTGCGAGCTTGTTACGCTCTTCCATAAGTCGGCCCAACTCGCTCCTCAGTGCCGCGTTCTCCACAGCCAAAGCATCCACTCTGGTGCTTAGTTCTTCACACTCTGCCTGTCTCATTTCACACAAATTAATTCGATTTAAATCACTTTCTTCTGAAAAGGAATGAAGACAAACTTGCCTGCTTTCGCAATCTCGATCGCCTTGCTGACTCCCGGTTGGATTGCTTTCTTCTTTGCCTTTTGAGCTCCCGTTCATCCTACCAGAGGTACATTGAGAAAAAAAAAGAAGGAAACAAGTGTGATAAACCTGTGACCACATATCAGAACCATCGCAAGCGGAAGCAGCCCCCAACAGCGAGCTTGGCATCCCCGGGAGCAGCGGCTGCGATGGCACTGACGAGTGCTTCGATTTCCTGTGTACTCTGGAAACATTTCCGCTCCAGTAATCCATCAGAGTATTCGGTACTCCCGTTGGATTCGCTTCAATGGAGCCAGAGCAGCTTCCAAACATTCCTGCTGTATTGCTACTCTCCAAAACTGCAACATCCGAGACCGAGTGAAGTTCCAGCTACTCAAGAGAACAGACTTTAAAGATCGGTCACCTTCCATAGCCATTTGATGGAAAGCATTCTTCTGCAGCAGAGAACTTGTAAAGCAGTGTTGACGAACGAGGCTAAAACATTCCTTACATTGTTGTTGTTGTTGGAGTTGTCATCTTCGCTTCCTTCGCTTGATCCATCGCTGCCACTGCTGCTACTGTCAAAGTGCGGTGAGCTCGATAATCAAAACGAAAGAAAGCTGGCTGACCTGTGGCCAAAGCTGCCGTTCTTGACGGGCTTGCTCTTCGATGGCGAGTCGGCTTGTTGCACATCGGCTGACGCAGCAGGACCACTCTGAGCCTGTGGAGCTCTCGCGAGTAAAAAACAATCCGTGGTCGCTCACGGTGGACGTACCATTTGGAAAGCCTTTGCACCGAAATGTCCAGGAGGTGGCCCCTAAAAGCATGCTTAAGACATAGCAGGATGCTTGTTGCTCATTTGCTGTATACGATCAACACTGTTTTTTCTGACGAGAAAAATCTTACCGGCTGCCCGTAAGGATTGTATGTCGCGAACGATGGCATCAAAGGCTGAAACGCAAACAAAAAAGAGAAAACTTCTCCATTGTCAAAAAAGAGAGAAAAAAAAACGTATAAAAAGATGAATACTTGCCTGGATTCCTCCCCACATATAGCGTACTGGCGATGAAGCGTAGCCTGGAACAGCTGCTGCCTGCGAGAGAAACCAATCCATCAGTCGCAGAAACGAATCAAAAAGGAAGAACGATCGAAGAACCAAGGATAAGAAGTAAAAAACTCTTGAAAGGAAGAACCTGGAGTGCTGGAGATGGCGCTGCTGCTCCAATTACATCGGCCATGGGCCATTGGCAAGCGAATTGATGAGCGGCGGACGTGGTCGGCTCCTCGTGATCCTCCTCCTCCTCCTCCTCCACCACCACCTCTTCCTCCTCGTCCTGTGAACCAGAAAGAGATAGATTGCTAAAAGCTGGTCGATCAAACAGTGGATGGATGAATGAATCAGTGAGCTCCATTCCTTCGATCGATAGCAAGAAAATGCCATGCCGATCAAGCAAAGAACACACAGCGCAAGGGAATTTCACGCGAACGATCAAGTACCTGGCGCTGCTGCTCCGGATCGTGCTGCTCGGGGGCGATCGATTTGCCGTCGCCTTCACTGCCCATGAAAGAGAGAAATTTTAGGGTGACCGGTGGTGGTCGTTAGTTATGTATAACTACTAAAGTAAAGAGAAAAGGGCTTTAGGTTAGGGTTCTTGGAGGAGGATGGGAGACAAGAAGAAGAAACGCGGCGAGGTCGCTACACTCTCTGATCTCAAGCGCGCGCAGGAATCGGACAGCGATTCGGATGGGCAAGAGTACTACACTGGCGGCGAGAAGAGGTAGGCACATCCAAGTTTCGTGGCCGATGAATCGATCGATGTGATTTTCAGTGGCATGGTGGTCCAGGATCCTGCCAACAACAAGCAGAACAAGGATGTCGACTCGATTTTCAATCGCGCGCTGGAGCTTGGAGCCCAGAAGGGGACGGGCGATGTCTCGTCCTCATCCAGCCGCGCCAAATCCGGTGGGTTTGGGGGCGTTGGAAGAACCCTAGCAGGCGGCCAGACATCCGCGGCGGCAGCTCCGGACGAGGATTCGACGCCGGAGCCAGTGTTTCACACCATCACTTTCTGGAGGAATGGCTTCACTGTGAACGATGGTGGCTTGAGAAGGCTCGACGATCCAGCAAACATTCCTTTTCTCCAGGTGCGTGAGATAGAGTTTCTTGTTTCTCTCTTTCGGTTCTCACAAGCCCCCTTGCTTGTTCTTCTAGAGCATCCACAGAGGTGAGTGCCCGAGAGAATTGGACTCTAGAAATCCAGACATCCCGGTCCATGTCAACTTGATGAAGCGCGACGCGGACTGGACCGTAAGTTCCTTCTCTCAAGTTTCTCTCTTCTCATCTGTGATCTTTGCTTTGCTCCATGCCAGCCGCCGCCTCCAGCGCAGCAGCAATACTTCTTTGGAGCAGGAAGAACTCTAGGATCTTCGCAGCCTCCCAGCAGCAATGACGCTAGTGACGCCGCTGTGACCCCTGCCGCTCCATTCCGTGGGATCGTGGTGGACGAGCAGAAGCCTTTCACGTCGCTCCAGCTGCGGCTCGCCGATGGGACGAGAATGGTAGCGCGATTCAACAATCACCACACCGTGGGAGACATTCGTGGGTTTATCGACGCGGCCCGAGCCGGCGGACCCAAGCTCTACTCGCTCCAAGTCATGGGGTTTCCTCCAAAGCTCCTCAATGATTCGTCGCTCACGATCCAAGAGGCTGGATTGGCTAACGCTGTTATCATCCAAAAGAGCAATGCGTGAATAGAACTCCCCTTATTTATTCTCAAGTTTTAGGGCTTGTGAATCGATCGATATGGATGCGCGAGCGACGCTGCAGCGTTTTCGGGAGGATCTGTATACCGGAGCTCCGGCGGGGGAGGACTTGGATGGCCAGCTCCTGGCAGAGCCCAGCGATGCGCTCTCTCATCAGGTATTTCGCGAAATATTTTCTTTCTTTCTACTCGCTTTCTTCTTGATTCAATGCAGGAAGCTGCTGTTCAGGAAGTAATCGGCAGGCAGAGGTAAGAAGAAATGCTTGATCGTGTGATCGATTTGATGGCGCGTTTGCAGGCAGGATGAAAACGCTACTGGCAACGATGTTCTTTGCGAGCGTCACAGTCCAGGACGCCTTAAGGTATTCTCACTGGCTAGAATCTTGGCGACTTTCTTTTTCTTCTTCATCTCCTTTCTTCTTCTCTGGACAGGATACTCTCGTAAAGATGACGGCCGACCATCGTGCTGATGCTGCCTCGAAACGAGCCAAGCAGTTATCCTCGCGACCAGGTAAGTGATGCTTTTCATGAGCTATCTCTGAGTTCTTAGTTCTTACCTGTAGAGAACACGGAAATTGGAAACGGCTATGGACTGCCTGGAGGTGGCGCCTATGCTGTTCGGCCTCCAACGTTTACTCTCGCGGCTCCTGCTGCTGAGCCTTGCCATCAAACAGCTTCAACAACGCAGCCATCCTTGCAACACAACCGTGAAGAAGTAGCGAACGTCGGCTCTCTTGTAAGTTACTGTGTTTTCTTTGTTTCACGGCGTGAACGGTTTTAACTCGCTCGCTTGGACAGAAGAGTTCATCGACATCCTTGCCTAGGGGCTGGGTAAGATATGGTGAAAGATCTGGTCTAACACCAAGGTTGGGGTTTAGGCAGAAGGGAGGGATCCGGCCAGTGGCTATCCTTTCTACTATAATGAAAGCACTGGGGAAAGTCGCTGGGAACGTCCACCACCGGAAGAAGAATCTGTCGAACGACTGCCTCCTGATTGGCAAACTGCGATTGATCCTGGATCTGGTACGTTTGTGCAGATCTTCGAATTTTTTTCTTATAATGAACTTCCAGGACAAACGTACTACTTCAATGTGAGAACGAACGAAAGCTCCTGGGAGAGGCCCAAAGCTCCCGCTACTGCTGTTGCTCCTATCAAAATGAAAAAATGTACCGGATGTGGAGGCTGGGGCGTGGGATTAGTTCAAGCCTGGAACTACTGCAATCACTGTACGAGGTACTTAACCGCGTCGCTTTTGTTCCGAAACTGAAATGAGGAACGCAGGGTTCTCAACATCACAGTACCTCTGCACAAGATGACGCCTACGAATGAAACTCCCAAGCAAAGGTGAGCTTGCACATCGCATTTCTCTCTAGATGCGTACAGGAAATGTGTAAGTTGCCAGGCAAGTGAAGAACAGGAAAAAAAGGGGAGCGGAAGACTTGGATCCCATGGATCCTAGTGCCTATTCTGATGCTCCTCGAGGAGGATGGTAAGGCCACCAGAAGTTTAGCGGGTTTAAACGGCTTAACTTGCAGGGGTATTGGCTTGAAAGGAGTACAACCCAGGGCAGCAGATACCACTGCAACAGTAAGTGTTGTTTTTGCTTTAGAATATCATCTTAGCTTTGTCTGGATTTGTTTGGTCCAGGGTCCACTGTTCCAGCAACGGCCATATCCATCTCCCGGGGCTGTTCTACGGAAAAATGCGGAAGCTGCTGGTCACCAAGGGAAATCTGGTGCTGGTTTCGCTCCCATCCATAAAAGAGGAGATGGGAGTGATGGATTAGGAGATGCTGACTAAGTTTCACCACGAAGCTGTTTTGAAACTAGCACGACACTAGGTTGTTGTTTAGACAACCTACGCAGGATAAAGACAAACACTCAAATAATTATAACCAGGCTGGTATCAATGCTCTCTCAGCTATCAAGTCTAGATGAAGCAATCACCACGAATCATTGGTTTGCCTAGAATGCATAAGATAGTAAAATGCTCTTATTAATGAAGAAAAACCATTAACTCACAAAGACAACTACGGCCATAGCTTTGCTTGTCAACTCAAAGCAAACAAGGATATCTCCAAGTCGAGGAGGCAATTCCAAGGCTGTTCTGGGTGTCTTGACATTCTCTAGCATAGTGTCTGACCTACTTACAATAGTTACACTCACATTTGCGTTAACATTAGTGGACATCGCCAACATTGCTCAGGTTATAAACATTATGGAATCTATCCTCAAGGATTGAAAAGAAAGAACGCCAGAGCTCTGGGTTTAGGATATCTCTTCAAACTTAGAGCACCAAGTGACAAGCAATCATAGCTCTTTCATCCATCGAGGCAGAGTATTGTAAGATGAGCAAACATGGAAGAACCACTTTTACCTAGGGACTACAGCCTCTTTACATTGTGGCTGTCCAGAGGTTTGTCCTCCTTGGCACCGACCTTATTGGCAGCACCAGTGTGTTCGACTCCATGGCACGCCACTCTCTTGCTATTTCCCTAAAGCTTTTCTCTTGTATTTCCTCCTCTTCACCACTGGAACCCTATGATTATTGCCCACTAATTAATCACACTTAGAGAGAAAAACACACTTTTGACTTGCTAGCCCCTTTACAAGTATATTGCTGCAACACAAGCAACTCAAAAAGCTAGGTGGCTTGAAAACATGACTGCAGCAACCAATGACCTTGTTTTGCAATTATCGGAGTGCAATCGAGTTGTCAAAGAATCTGAATCTCATGGCCACATCAAACACATTGAGATAAGGTACACTTTATTCAAAAACAAGTTCTAGTGAATACGAAACAAATGACAGTAGATATCATGACAAAAGCTTTGAGCAAAGACAATTTTAAACAACATTGTGAAGAGTTCTGCCTTATAGACTGATATGAGCAGACACATGTATATGGTGAAAATACAAAATGGTAGTTAAGGGACAAAGACATAGGCAAAATAAACCTAACGAGCAGCAAGGCTACATGACTTTAGATTGCATGACTGCTCAACTGCAGCAAATAGGAAGAGCAAATGGCCATTCCCAAACATGTTCTTCAAAGCTGTCCAATTCTCTATTGCAATCTTTGTTAAATGGGCCTTTTATATACCAACAAAAAGCTTTCAAAGGGAGGGTTTTACTATGGAAGTACGTACAAAGCAGAGGTTTGCTTGTGAATTAGAACTTTAAATGTATCATCTGAAACCATTCATCTAGTGGTATCCACATCCATTCACAAGTGCCTACCTCCTTTTGCTTCCACAAAAAATGCCAAATTTGTGCTTCTCTTTTTGCTTTCTCTGGACCATTTTGCCCTCATCTTTTCTCTAGTTGGAGCATACAAGCTGCTACTGCAGTGATGATTCAAGCCAAACTCACACAGCTACCACCTTTGGGCCATCTGTTACACCTGGCTTTCAATATTTCCCATAGAGTAATTCCTTTCAACAAGTTTATCAATTTGGAAGACACCTTTGTTTTGTTTGTTTGCAGACTGTTGAATTGGTTAAACCAGCAAAATCTTGGCATTGAACTCACCTTGGCAAGGGAACTTGCCATGTATTGGACGAGATACCATAAACATGCCCTTCTCCAGACTCAACCAACACAATTTTCCCATTCCAGACAGTCGCCAAAAAGAAAGTTAGATGTCACTTTTCCTTCTATAGGTAGCTTTGGGCTATTAGCCGCTTTTACAGAAGGCCACCTGCGCTTGTCTTACACACCAAGCCATTGACTTTTGTATGGGCCAGTTCTAAAGCTTCTGATGGCTATGATTTTCTAAATCACTTTTCTTGTTTACACTATTACATGTTTTAAATCCTTACTTTTATAGTTCTTCTCACTTGCTGGAACACACCACACTCCTGAGGGAAAGATTGCGAGACAACTGATGTTATTGTGACATCCGTAAACAAGCACACTTCTAATTTAGCAGGGTCACCCCATTTCAAACTCAGTTCCTATACATAAGAGTTTGTTTGCCCCTGTGGCTCGAACACCTCAATCCAGCTCTCTCAATCTCGCAAGAAACCTACCGAATGAGTACCATTCGGCTCTTGACCTGGCCGCCGCTGATGCTGACCGAGTTTCACCACGAAGATCTTCGCCATTAGAGGTGATTTAAACTTTTGCATTTTATAAGAGAAAGGATCTTCAATGGTACATCTCCTCTTCAGGCACGATAACACCAGGCTCGCCTTGTGATCTTGTCCTTGACATACATAGTCGTACTTCGCAGTCTCCAATATCAAGCATGTAATGTCAAATTGCTTTTTCTGCTCCTTTAGCTTCTTTCCCAGTTTGAGACTTGCCCAAAACTCCCCAGACTCGTCAAGCATCCGGCTCATCCTTGGACGCGTTCACCACTCATCCTGACCCAGATCAAACCGACAGTAAATTTTTTTTGCTCATTCCAGATATCCCGGGTAGGGGCCTCTGGTTCTATACAGAAACTCACCTGCGCTTGTCTTATCCCAATCCATTGTAAACCTTAAATTTCCTTATACATTTATGAGGAGGTCATGGATTCCTGTGACCCCTGGACGTCATCAAAGAGTCGGAGGAGCTGCAACATTTTACAGATTTAATAGAATCCACTGCTCTCCCGTGAGCTTGCAAAGAAAACATTCAATGTGAATCCATGGCTTCCAACTATATAATGCGAGAAACAAAAAGAGAAGTTTCTCGCCTTTCAACTGGAGTAGAAAGGATGATGTTTCTTGTAAGTATCGTGATCGCTTCTTCCTGTATCATCCTCTGCATCGTCACGACTCATGTGAGCTGCGACGACATGGTCCTCCCGATCATGCAGCAGAATGCCAGCGCTCGCACCGATCCACGCGAGATTCGAGCCGTTTACGACGTCATGGCTGCCACTGGAAACTCGTGGGTCACAACAATTCCGGATGTTTGCAATGGAAGATGGCATGGAATTGAGTGTACCTTGGACACGAGCACCAACCTCCTTCACGTCGTCTCGCTCTCGTTTGGAGTCCTCTCCGACGACACGGCCTTCCCTGCCTGTAGCTCCGACTCCACAATCTCGCCTTCCATTGCCAAGCTAGTCTTTCTCAGGCGCCTCTTCTTCTACAGGTGCTGCAGCGGCAATCCCCGGCCAATTCCGCCGCAAATCGGTCGGCTTGGAGCTCGCCTCGAGTCTCTGGTGCTTCGAGAAAACGGACACGTTGGTGCTGTTCCTGCGGAGCTTGCAAGCCTCTCCAAGCTTCACACCTTGGATCTTCACGGTAACAACTTGAGCTCTTCTATACCACCTTCGCTTGGAAACCTGAGCTCTCTCCAGAGGCTCGATCTCAGCAACAACAGGCTGAGCGGTTTCATTCCCAGCTCGCTGGACAAGCTCGCCAGCGCCATTATTCTGGACTTGAGCAACAACGATCTGGAAGGTGAGATCCCAGGCGTGATCAGCAGCTTGAGGAGCTTGAAGAAGCTCGACTTGGGCAACAACAGACTGAGTGGAAGCTTACCAGACGAATTGGGAAGGTTTGAGTCGCTGCTCTTCATGGATCTCAGTCGCAACCGGCTGGTTGGAGGCATCCCCGAGTCGTTTGGAAGGCTGCATACGCTCCAAGATTTGATCCTCCGGGAGAACAGCCTCAGCTTCACGATCCCAGAGTCACTGGGAAACATCACCAGCCTCCAGGTCCTCGTCCTCTCCTCGACCAACATCGCAGGGAAGATCCCCACGGCGCTTGGAAGGCTCAAGAGCCTCAAAGTTCTCCACCTGGAAAACAACAAGCTCCACGGATCAATCCCAAGAGAGATCCTCGCGCTGCCTCAACTCTGCGAGCTCAACCTTGCCAGGAACTCCTTGTCCGGCCCAGTTCCAGTCTCCAGAGAAGTCGCCACCAAGCTCGGCGCTCGCCTCCGCCTCATGAACAATACGGGTCTCTGCTTGAAGTCGCCATTGAAACACGATGGAGTGGAGCAATGCGCTGAATTGGAGGAAAGTTTCAACAATCCCTCGCAGCCCAGCACTGAAACCTCTAGTAGCGTTGCACATACCGATGAAAGCATAGCTCTCCTTTTCTTTCTCGGCGCCATAGCCTATCTCAATTCGAAAACGTTGTAGACAGAATATCCTCGTTATAAGCGCAGTCAAGCATATTCCGCCTATTCAGAACTAAACTTCGCATTTTACTGAACTTCACGCAAAAGGATGCGGTGGAACCAAAATTTCCACAGTTACGACGACAAGAACAAAGAATTCGCCACCTGCTGCTAACTGGTTAGAAGATTGCTGGTTTTTTTTTTTCCTTGTTTTTTAGCATTTTTTCTTTTTGTTTTTGACGTTTCTCGTTTTTTCTTCTTTTTTCTTTTTTTCTGGTTTTAAGTTTAAATGAGAGTTTTTGGTAGGAAATACAAGTACCCGCTGCTACATCACCTGCAGTAAATCGCTTGATCAATCTGAGGAGGGATGGGCTTGATCTCAGTTCCCAGCTCTTGCTCAATCCGGTATCTGCAAAACAATGTAGATAGGTAAAGCATCGATCGAGCAAAGTCACGGCATCACTTACAAGTTGAAGCGATCTTCGTAGGTTATCAAATTTACAGCGAGGCCGAGGTGACCAAACCTCCCTGAGCGACCAACCTATATATCACAGAACCAAAACGAGTGAGCAAAGCTCTGAGGTTACGCAAACGCATCGCTTACCCTGTGAAGGTATGTCTCGGAGTTCTTGGGGAAGTCGAAGTTAATGACGACGTTAACCGCCTGAATGTCAATCCCTCTTGTAAAAAGGTCTGGAAGGAGATGAGAGTCAGGCTGTATAAACACAAGACGTTCACGTACCAGAGGACACGAGATTGCGGCAGGCCCCGTTTCGAAAGTCGTGGAACACTCTGTTCCGATGAGACTGGAGCATCTTGGCGTGGATGTAGAAGCACGAGTATCCGAGCTCGGTGATCTTCTTAGCTAGTAGCTCAACACGATTGACGGAGTTGCAGAAGATGATCGACTGGTTTATTTGTAGCTGCGAATCGCATTGGGTGTTAGCACCTGAGTTTCTCCACAATCGAAAACTAATTCCAAACCTTGGAGAACAGCGTGTTGAGGCAGTGAACCTTCTGTCTTTCCTCGACGAACGCGTAGTACTGGGTTATACCCTTCAGCGTTAGCTCGTCCATCAGGTTAATGACGTAAGGCTTCCGGAGAAACTTCTCTTTGAACTGCTTCACTGTGACAGGGAACGTTGCCGAAAAGAGTAGAACCTGGCGGCTTTCGGGAAGGAAGCTCAGCAATCGTTCCACCAAAGGCTGGATCTCCGGTGAGAGAAGCTTGTCAGCCTACACAGAAAGCCCTCTTTAAGTACATCCCAAAGTAAGAAAACGTTGCGTGATATCTTACCTCGTCCATCACCATCATCGAGCAATCCTTGAGCTTGCAAACGCCCTTGTTGGCCAGGTCCAGTACCCGACCAGGAGTCCCAACCAGAAGATGCACTGGTTGATATAGCCGCATGATATCGTCTTTCAGACTCGTCCCTCCAGTCGTGACCATTGTCTCAATCTTGAGATGTTTTGCAAGTTCTTTGCATACTTGGGACGTCTGTAGCGCGAGCTCGCGCGTGGGCACCAAGATCAGAACTGCAAAAAAAAAAACACACCAGAGCGTCAATCACAAGTCCGGCTTTGCCAAAGTGCGTACCCTGGATAGCATTTTTGTTTGGATCTATTTTCTCGATCGCTGGAATGCAAAAAGCCGCAGTCTTTCCAGTCCCGTTCTTCGCCCTCGCCAATATGTCGCTGCCTGTTAAGGCGATAGGGATGCTCTCCTCCTGTATGGGAGATGGCCGCTCGAAGCCTTTCTCATAGATTCCCATGAGCAGTTCCCTCTTGAGGAAGTAATCCTCGAATTCATTGCCTTTCGTGGCGGTCACATCCTAGTATAAGTCGCTCGTGTTAGTCAGAGAACTACAGACGAACACACACACACAAAACGCTTCTTACTTCGGTCCTGTACCGCGCATCCGCTGGAGGGGTCTTGAGTTGCGCTTTCCACTCTTGTAAGCTGGAAGAAACAAGAGAAGCCCTTGTGTCAAGAAAGGAAACGCACCGACAAATCGACCGCTCACCTCGAACTTGCGAGAACTTTGGCATTTCCATCGGCATCGCCGGCCGGGCCTCCCGCGAGAGCGTTGCTATTCTGTAGCGGCGGATTTTGCTGCTGGCTTTGTTGCTGCTGCTGAGCGAATGGCTGCGAAACCCTCCCTTGCGGACGCGCTAGCCGCGGTTGATAATGTTGCATCCTGCGCGAAGAACTAGGTCAAGGAATGAGGGCAAAGATCGAAGGAGAAGAAGAGCTCACCTTCACTGCCGCTGGCTTCTCCGGCTTGGATTTCTTTGGCACGACTACTCCTAGGACCTCCTGCTCAAAGCCATGTCTCCCCCAACCCTAGACCTAAGGCCGCCTAGCGCCGTCGCCTACCTCTCTCCTCCTCCAGCCGCCCCATCGCCATCGCTCCACTGCTCAATCGCCAAGAGCGCGCGCGCGAGTAGGGCAAGAGATTTGCGCGCAGTGAAAATACGCCAAGCCGCCCAGCCAAAGCTCTCCTCCTAGAGTCAGCCGCATGCACCAATTGGATAATCCCTCAAAGGATATTCCGTTAGCTAGAAAAGGAAGTAAAAAAAAATAATGCCGAGATTAAATCGCTGGTAATTACCAGCCAGCCCGTATGGAAAGAACGACGACGCAAGAGCTCGCGAGACTCCTCAAATCGGCAGGAGATTCCAGGGATCTTGGGCAGGCAAAGCGAATCCACGCCGTCCTTCTCGACAGTGTCCACGGCTGTGATCGATACCTCGCGAATTTGACGGTCGAGATGTATGCCAAGTGCGGGGATCTTGTCGAGGCAGAGCGCGCATTCACAGCGATCGGAAGACCCAACGTCTTCTCCTGGAATATACTCCTCTCGGCATATGCCCTGCATGGGCATCTGGAAGATGCAAAGAGAACATTCGATGACATGGAGCAGCGTGACGTTGTCTCGTGGACAACTGTGATCGTGGCCTATGCCCAATGCGGTAATCTCACACAAGCTAAAGGAATGTTTGATAGGATGCCGCGATGGAATGTGGTCTCCTGGACTGCCATGGTTCAAGCATATGCCCAAGTCGGGGACATTTTAGAATCCGAGAGAGTTTTTCACGGCATGCTAGAGAGGAACTCCGTCTCCTGGGATACTATGATTCAGGCTTTGGTAAGCCATCGGCATTACCAGAGAGCCAAGTTTCTGTTCGATCGATCGCCAGAACACACAATAGTCTCTTGGACAGCGATGATTAACGCCTGCTTCCAAACAGGGGAAATTGATCGCGCGAAGGCGATGTTTGATGCGGTTCCAGAGCATAATGTGGTTTCTTGGACGGTTTTGCTGCAAGGATTTGCGGAGAGTAAGCATTTAGAATCAGCACAAGTCATCTTTGAAAGGATGGCAGAGAAGAATTTGATATCGTGGGCGGTGATGCTCAATGCATTTGCCCAGATTCCTCGATTGGAAGATGCACGAGAAGTTTTTAAATCCATGCCTTATTGGAATCTGTCGACTTGGAACACCATGGTTTGTGCGGAGGCTCAATGCGGAGAAGTTGACAATGCTCGGGAGCTGCTGGAAACGATGCCAGAAAGAAACTTGGTGACGTGGTCAAGCCTTATTGGGCGTGTAGGGATGGGCGAATCGCAGGAGATTCTCAAGAAGATGCCCGAGAGGGACATAGTGGCATGCAATGCTTTGCTTGCTACATATGCCCAGCTGGGGTGTCTTGAAGATTGTGAAACGTTCTTTAGAAATTCTATGCCTGAGCACGATATCTTTGCGTACACCATAATGATCAGTTTGTATTTCTCTAAAAACCAAATAGAAATTGCAGTGCACTTGTTTAACTCCTTGCGATTTGTAGATGTTGTCGTGTGTAACTCATTCATTTCAGCAAATGCCGCGTTAGGGCATATGGAAGACTGTCAGAGATGTTTCGACACAATGAGAGACCAGGACATGACGACCTGGAATACGATGCTGGAAGCTTACGCTCAGAACTTTAAGATTTTAGAGGCGGAATCCCTGTTTCAAAACTTTCCCAGGAAGGACACTGTGTCTTGGAACGTAATGGCAATGGCGTATTCTCAGACTGGGAATCTCCCGATGACGGAAGCGTTCTTTGACGCCATGCCCAAGAGAGATTCCGCGTCGTGGAACATTTTGATAACGACGTACTGTCGCAGAGGCCGTGTCAATCAGGCCGTACGTTTCTTCCAAGACATGAACTTGTGGGCTGTTCATCCAATCGATCCCGGGTGTTTCTCGAGTATTCTTCTCTCGTGCAGTCATCGCGGGCTCGTCAGTGTTGCCCGACGCTACTTCCTTCGAATGGCCGCAGATTTTGGCATCGAACCGGACGTGGAGCTTTACTGCTGCATGATCGACGCATTTGGGAGATCCGGCCAGCTTAGAAACGCGAGAGAATTGGTGGATTCCATGCCCTTTGTTCCCGAAAGAGTGGCATGGACAACAATTCTTGGAGCTTCATCCAGAAATCCCAAAGGTTTCGTAAGTTCTTCTGTGTAAAACCCGAGCACTGTTCAAGAAATTCCAAAGTTTCCTAGGTTCTTCCTACCCTTACAGATAGAACCCTGAAATATATTCTTGAATTGATCAATAAAAAACAAAGTGGTCCTAGCTAGCTAGACATGCTAAGGTCTAGGACTAGCGCCGGTTTGATAATCCATTCTCCCACGTGGCCCAACCAGAGTGCGCTAGGTGTCCACACACCATTGGTCCCCGCCAGCTTTTGTCAGTCGCATTGCGAGCCGCGCCGACCGTAATCTCGCCACATACCGCAGGATCGATTGCATCCGACGGCTCCACGCTTCTTTATCGGCAAGCAAAACAAAGGTGCGAAAACCTAAAGCGGACCTTTTTCGTTTTCTCCCACTCCACCATGGCGGTGACTTAGGGTTTTTGTGGGCGATGAAGGCGAGGAAGAAGGCGGGCGTTGGGGCGAGCGCGAGCGCCAAGGGCGTGCTGCGCGTCACGGAGTCGGGCAATGGCAAGCAGATGAGCGTGGTGGTGGATGTGGGGCAGCATCCCACGCGCATCCGGAGGTTTGATGGGGATGATCTTGGTTGTGGCGATGCGGCGTGGTTCGCCGCCAGCACCGATGCCGTGCCCACATTCAAGAAATTCCTCCTCCGCGAGGACACGGGCGCGTCGTCGCGACTGGATAGGGTACCATCCGATAATCGGACCAGGTCTTACATTTGCCTCCGCCAAAACAGGTGGACGGGTCTTCGATTCGCCGTGATCATGTCCAGGCTCGCGAATGGGCAGCTGAGGGCCATGTCGTTCCATCCCCGGAGATTGCCCAAGCAGCAACGGGATCGGTCTAGGAGTAGCAGCAGCGCGGGCGACGAGGAATTGGTGAAGAGGGCGGTCTTGTTTGCGAGGAGCGCTGCGTTTTGCCAGTGGCGGGAGCAGCAGCAGCAGCAGCAGCTGCAGCTGGCGATGGAGGGCATGCCATCGTCGCAGCAGCACGAGCTTGATGCCGAGCGGGGCCTCAAGCACCCGAGCGCGCTGGTGGGATTTGACAAAGGGGACAAGGTGGATTGCAGGTGTGGGAAGAACCGTAGCAGAGGTCAAATGGTGACTTGTGAGGTGTGTTCCACTCGGGAACATCTGGAGTGTCTGGACTCCAGCTCGCAGGTGTGGTCTCTTCTCCCTCCTCGGATTATAGCTTTTAGAAAACAGGATGCTACAAGAGGTCCTTTGCACAGCTCAAGGACGCTAAAACAGATGTTTGATCTCTCTTGCAGATAGCAGCGGATTACATCTGCTCCGCCTGCCTGAGGGCGCAGAAAGAGGAGGTTTTTGTCATCAGTATGGATGAACAGGTTAGTTTCGAGGCATGCACGTCAGATGAGTGGGGAAAAACACACAGGATAGATATATTGACAGGGAAAAGTGGCTTCCTTCGTGTGCACAGAAGCTGGAGTTATTTCGTGCCGTCGTCTTTGCCTGAGACTTGCCTTTGGAAAAAGCTGATTTGCTTTTTGTGCTCCCTCTTGAGAGAGATGGATGGGTGGATGGATGGATGATAGAGATGTTGCCTGTGCGTTCTTGAGCAGGGATTCCAGATGTTCGCATCAGTCCTAGGGGAAAAGCATTATAATCACTCGATGCTCAGACAGGTTTTTGTTGCAGGAGGAGGGTAGGGTACTACTAAATTCAGGAGATTCTTGGACTAACACGCCAAAGGCGAGGGACACAGGAGATGAGTCCGTTTGTTCCCTTTGTGGCTGCGAAGACAATGAAGATTTCGAAACCATGGTACGTGGTGGTAACTCTCAGGATAGAAACCACTCGGAGGAAATCTAGTGCATAGTCGTTTCAGAGGTCTCACAGGGGGCATGCAGGCTTGGCAGTCGGTGTAGAAAAGTTGTAGGAAGCAGATATTTGTCGCGCGGAATTTTTGGGACAGAAGCATTTACAGCTATGGTTTTTCTGTGCAGATACAGCCATGTACATGTGATAATGCTGCAGTCTCTGCTCATCCTAGCTGTGTCTCGCTAGCACTGGAGGTTTTGACGCAGAAAGATCGAAGTAAGCAGCCGCACACATGCCACGCCTGTGGCTCTGCCAAGCCTCCTGCATCCAAGCGTTCGTCAAAACGAGCCCCTGCTACGGACACCAGTTCTACGAAGTGCGTCAAGAGATTGCGTAGTGCGCTGGCGCATCCAGGGAAGACTGAAGCCGATGAAGGCGTACACACAGGAAAATCTCACGAGGCACAGGAAAAAGCAGACGTTGAAGCAAGGAAGGTATGGCTTGTGTTCATACTGTCTATTCTCTCTGACTTGTGCATATTCCAGCCTGAAGCCAGTCTTTTGGGAGGTCGTTTTAGTAATGCGGCCTCCACTGTTCCAATAAAAAAGCGGAGGATACAGATTATGGATTCTGTGCGGTCTCCATCGCCACCATCCAGGTCTCCATCTCCGTCGATAAAGGTGAACAGGGACGAGTTTTCAGGGAGCAGATATGGGAAGCTGGAGTCGGACAAAGTGGTGGACGAAAGACTACCAAAGTGCACTCAGAACAAAGTCGAAGAAGAAGAAGAGCCGGGGCTTCACGATTATGATCTGGTGAAGGATGAAGATTACGAGCGTATGGATCATTTTAGAAGGGATATTGATGGAGATGAAGACGGCGGCATGAGGAAGGATGTTGACAGTGGTGACTCTCATGGCAAACGCTCTCACTGGGACTTGAATAAAGGCATGGATGCCTGGGAACGTCCGTGTGAAGATGGACCTGATTACTGCATCGACGCAGGTGCTGAGAAGTCTCAAGAGATAGTTTCTGGGAACATCACAGAGCATGCTACGTCCGATACAGATGAAGCCGCAACCAAAGACAGGACAACCGAGGAGTTGTGTGCGACAAGCATGCAGAGCACTGAAGAGAAAAATGAAGCTGATAATGCCAGAGACGAAGGTCAAGCCCAGGGGGACACTGCCGATTATCAAGCATCTCCGGAACAGGAACAGGAGCCTGACTCTTTTCCGTCACCGGCTAAGGGTAGTAGTGATCAAACTCAGGCCGAGGCAGTCGAGGATATAAACGGTGACACCAAGGATGATGATCCAAAGACCTTTGAAGACTCCGGGGTGAAAAGGACCGGTGAAGCTGAGGACAAAGAAGTCTTTCAAGAGGATGACACGTTCGAAGAGGAAGAAGAACCCGAGTCAGATAAAGTGCGAGTGGAGGTCGAGGAGGCTGAGAAAGTGGAGGAGGGTCAAATAACTGCTGAGGACTGGGCAGAAGAGGCCTGTGAAGCCGAGCACGTTGATTATGATGACTCTGAGGAAGGAGATGAGCCGGTGGAAACAGTGGATGAAAAGGTGGCGCGAGCGGAAGGGGATTCCGAGGGTGAACAAGGAGAGATTCACGAGCTCGAAGCCAAACGTGAATCTGACAACGAGAACAAAGAAGGTCCTTCGTCGGGTGATTACAAAAGCGGTGAAGGTCAGCCTACCGCTAGCGGCGACGAAGAGTCCAAACCAGAGAAGAATGTTGGCGCGACGCGGCGGGTAAAGGCTTCTGGATGGGATCAGCTTCCTGAAGGCTTCGACACAGCAGAAGAAGCTTTACGTGCTTCCAAGGAGCTTTTCAGGCGTGGTGTGAGGCCAAATGCCTGGACTGGCAATCGCTTACGACCCCCAGCAGGCTCCCGAGTGTCGCAGTTTGAAAGCTACGATAGGTTTAGACACGAGGATCCAGCGTGGAGTAGGCACGACCATCACGATCAGAGGTAAGCCGACCCATTCTTGCCTCTGGAAACTCTACTCAAGCTTTGTTACTCTTTGCAGGAACGAGATGTACGATTCGGACAGGTTCTACTCTCGCGATTTTGGACGTGGTAGAAGTCGGGGTGGTCCGAGCTCTCCACTCGTACCTCGAAGAGCGGAACCATGGATGAATGGTTCCGTGGTTCCGCCGGGACAGTGGGGTCCAAAGCACCACCTTTCTCCGCCAGCTCGTTTCTCCGAGGGTGGCGGCGGGTTTGGTCCCCACGGCCAAGCTAACGCCGCCGCCGTGGCCGCTGCAAAGGTGGAGAGTAGCGGCTTCGTTGTAGCACCGGACGGCACCATCACCAAGGCCGGTAGTCCAGGAGCGGCGGTGGTCCGGGGTGGTGGCGGAAGAGCATTTCCAGCAGCAGGACGGAATCCTCCTCCCTTGATCCTGAATCCCACTCGAGCAGCGGACCCGGAAGCCATGGCTCCTCCAGGGAGAGGCATCGGTTTGAGTCCGGTGCTGAGAGTCGGCCCCGGGATGGGAATGGTGGGAGTAAGCCCCGGCTTGCGAAGCAGTCGTGGGGTGTTTGACAGGAGCTACGGTGGTGGTCACGGTTTGGAGGGTCCGGCAATGAGAGCAGCGCCGGATGGTCGAGGTGGTGGCTACGTTGGTGAGCCGCATCCGGAGAGATGGGATCACCGCAGGGAGAGGAGCCCGAGCATCCGTCGGCGATCGAGATCGAGGTCCAGGAGTGACTCGCCTCGGAAGAGTCTGAGGCACCACAGCCGGTCTCCTCCTCCGGGGTACGCGAGCTCGGCGAGAGAGATGTCTCCGGCGTCGTCGGTTCCAAAGCTTCCGCTGCCGCCACCACCCCCGCGAGGCCAGAGGTCGCCACCCGCGGGGCTCAAGCGCTTGAGTGATCGAAGAGACGAGCGGAGGTTTTTCGAGATGGAGTACCACCATCACCAGCAGCAGCAGCAGCATTGCCTGGAGTCGCAGCGAGAGCCTCGAACTTCGGGGTGGGATCTTGGGCCTGGCGACGTTGGGCGGATCTCGTCGGGGAGATTTGACGTCGAGTTAGAGAGGAATCACGATAGGCGGAGGAGGGACAGAGGGTTTTCGAGTAGCAGGCCTGGTAGAGATGGCGAGGAGGAAGTGGCTCCCAGGAGGAGACGACCACCTTCGTGAAAGGGACGAAGACGAAGAACACACTTATTCCCTGGATATGCTTTTGATAAACCCTAAACCCTTGGGCGATGGAGGTAGCTCTAGCGCCGCGCCAGGGATTGTCGCCTCAGTGGAATGTGGATGATCTGCATCCGCGGCGGCGGCGATGGCAGCAGCGCGTGGATTGTCGCGTTGGATTCTCCGGGGCCGCGAATGCGAGCGGCGGTGTGATGCTAGGGCGGAAGTTCGAGGTGGAGCACGTCCTCGAGGCGCAGCAATTCGACCGGGAGCTGCTGGAGGGGATCTTTGGCGTGGCCAAGGAGATGGAGGCGATCGTGGAGGGGAGATCCGGCGGCGGCTCCACGATGCTCAAGGGATATCTCATGGCGACGCTGTTTTACGAGCCATCGACGAGGACGAGGCTGTCGTTTGAGTCGGCCATGAAGCGCCTGGGTGGAGAAGTGCTCACCACGGAGAATGCTCGCGAGTTCTCGTCGGCTGCCAAAGGGGAGACGCTCGAAGGTGAGGTTTGGTTCTCTCTCTTCATTGTTTTTCTTCGATCTCGGAAGCTCAAAGATGTCTATCAGACACGATCAGGACGGTGGAAGGCTACTCGGATATAATCGTGATGAGACACTTTGAGAGTGGAGCTGCCAAGCAAGCTGCCGCTGTGTCGAGCATCCCAGTGATCAATGCTGGCGATGGACCTGGGCAGCATCCCACGCAGGTAGCTCAAAGGCCTTCCTTCCTTCGTTGGATCGAGTAAGGAAAAACGCTTGGATCTTTGGCAGGCACTGTTAGATGTTTACACGATTCAGAGAGAGACCGGGCGGCTCGACGGGATCAAAGTCGGGCTCGTTGGAGACCTTGCCAACGGAAGAACTGTTCGATCTCTGGCCTACTTGCTCGCCAAGTACGATGGTGTCAAGTTCTACTTCGTCTCTCCAGACGTGGTGAAGATGAAGGTATGAGGAGACGAAGAAGAAGTTCCATGAGTTTTCTGACGAGCTCTTTGCTTCTTGTGTCAAGGATGATATCAAAGAGTATCTTACCTCCAAGAACATAGAGTGGGAAGAGTCGAAGGATCTCATGGAAGTGGCATCCAAATGCGATGTCATTTACCAGACGCGCATTCAACGCGAGAGATTTGGCGACAAGATCGAGCTCTACAACCAGGCCCGTGGAAAATACATTGTGGACCGCAAAGTAGTGGATGTGCTTCAAAGCCATGCCGTTGTTTTGCATCCTCTTCCCAGGCTTGACGAGGTATCTGTCTCACACACATTTGTTTCGTTGTCTTATTTGGTTTCGTGTGTGCGCAGATTACCACAGAAGTAGATGTCGATCCAAGAGCTGCGTATTTTAGACAGGCCAAAAATGGTCTTTTCATTCGTATGGCTTTGCTGAAGTTGCTATTGCTTGGGTGGTGATTGAAACTAAGTTCATAAATGATAAAACACTCGCCAAACGCGATTGTGGAACGGAAGAAGCAAGACTTTGGAAACCATGGTCCCTTCATCCTGGATAGCGTGTGCCTCTTCCCGTTCTTGCTGGCCAGGCTCACGGAACTGCTCCACTCTCTTTTCAATCTTTACGCAGCAGCTGCGCCGGAATTGTCATCTTCCACAAGCATATAGTCCTGGATCAGCTGCAGAAACTCGGGGCACTCTTCGAAGCTCTGGTATGGAGCGGCGAGCTTGTCGACCACTAATCGGAGGATCCATTTCTCATCACTGTTTAGCTTCTCAAGGACATTCTTTTTAGCTTGCGGCGGGCGTCCATGGCGTGGGAACATGCAGCCACCGCATCCAGTTGTTTGGGAATTTGTCCATCGATACACGATCCTGTGTGTTCATCCAAACTGATTCAACGCTTACTTGGATGGACGGTGCGAACCTGTGAAGCATATCAGGACTCCACAAAGAAAGTTCGGGCATCCAAGTCGATGACGTAGATGAAATTGACGTCGATCTTGATATCCAGCTACGGCCGCTCCATCGTCGGTTCGTGATTGACACAAAAACGCCCAGCTCCAAAGCAACAGAATTTAGATTGGCAGGCTCGTGATGTGCAGCTGACAAACAAGTGGTGTCAACCAAATGGTTATTTCGAGTTAAGAGGAACGCAGCGAATCAGGTTGTTTGGTTTAAACCCAGGTATGTGGCCCGTGGATTTACACAAATCCCGTACTGGTGTTATGGCTGCTCCTCTGCAACTGTAAACTGTTGCAATTGAAACCAGACTTATCTTATGGAAGAGACTTGGTCAGTATATCAGCTAGCTGCCTCATGGTTGAGCAAACTTGGAGAACAAGCTCCTGGACATAGTGATAGCGTAGCTGTCTTTTGGTCATGGATGTTGTTGGAAATGGTTGAAGACTAAAGGTTAAGCTCCATAGGGTGGAAACAGGAGTACAGTCGTGCATATTAAACCATTTGAGAATTTCATCACCTATGGAACTGGTCCCATATAATATTAAGACCAAGACAGAACTTAATGTCACCGAGATTGTCCATCTCAAATTGAGAAAAAAATCTGTTCTTTGATATTTTGTAGAAAAGCAAGACAGTTTGTGACGAAATCAATACGTTTCTGATTAGCAGCATTTCTGAAAAATCCAATAGAGTTGAGAAATTTGTCCAACCAAGCTTTAGGAGATTATTTGAGACCATATAAAGCTTTCTTGAGGTGACAAACTGCTTCTGATAACCCTTTGATTTCTGGATAAAGATTTCTTCATTGAGATCTTCATACAGGAACGCTGTAGATGTACCTCAAGATCATATTGATGCTAAAGCAAGCATATGTACCACAGGTGAGTACGTCTCAGTAAAATCTAAGCCATTGTGTAAATCTGCAGGATATACCTGAACCAAACGACCTGATTAGTACTTAAAATAGCCATTTGGTTTGTCTGTCAGCTGCCTTTCAAACTAGCATCCAAGTGTAAAGAGTGATTGATACTTGGAGTCTATTATGGCTTGCCACTCTGCAGCAAGAGGACCTGTGAGCACCTGAGGAAGCTCTGGTAACTCAGGTGGTGGTAGAGGTGGTGGATTGATTGGAGGCTGCCTTGCTTCTTGTGGTGCTCCCTCTGAAGCTGAGCATACCTATGGAGTCATTCCTTGTAATCTTGTTATTTGTACTTGCCCAGATTAGTTTTGTCTTCTCCCAGGGTTGTGGGTGATGTGGCATTTAAAGTGTGATATGGAGATGAATGAATATTCATGATTCTAGATTCCCTAGGAATCATGAGAGAAAAATATAACACAAATAGAGATTTTAGAAGAAACCAATAAGTTATATAAAAGAAGGCATTAAAGATCTAAAAGAAATTAACAAGTGTGAGTGCATGGGAATATATAAAATATGCATATCAATTAACTCAAAAACCTTAGTTTATACATAAGAGCAAGTGGTCTGGATTGAAACCCAACAGTTACCAAAATCCCACTATACTAATATTAATATATGGCATCGTAACTGTAAACTTGGACCCCTCCTCTTGGAATAATGGAAGACCATTAGGGTTTTCTTGTAGATGGGCCGGGATTTGGAGGAAAATTAGGAGGAGGCATTGGTAAATTTGTAAGTAGTATTAGTTGTTCTTAATCCCTTTGTATGATGTCACAATTTTTGGAGGATTGGTTTGTTAGACATCATGCCAAACCTCATAAATTTGTGGTCCAACTTGCCGCAACACTTGATATGGTCCTTTCAACTGCCCTTTAGATAAACCACGTACTATAAAATGGGGAAAACTGACTAACACCAAATCATCCACTTTATACTTTGCAAGTGGATAATGATGGCAGTTGTAATGCCATTGTTGTCCCACTTATACACAGCCCAAGTGTTCGGTAGACTTTGCTTGAGCAAGTGAAAGAATGCTTGTCAAATATTGATCCCATGACTTAGTATCGGCAACTCGTGATAATTACAAAGGTAAACCCAACTCCATTAATAATATTGGATCATGACTATATAAGAGTTTATGTGATAAAGCACCAACAAAACTCTACACCCTTGTGACATATGCATACCAAAGAAATGACAAATAACCATCCCAATCCGAATAATTCACGTACTTCGCAATCATCCTTTTGAATGTTCGAACGAGCCATTCCACTAAATTATTTGTTTGTGGATGATAAGCACTCATGAAAGTGTGTTATATCCCCAACTGAGAAGTCAAAATATGAAATGCCTCAGCCATAAATGCGAGACCATTATCCGAAAGAATCCACTCTGGACAAGAATGCTAGAACACCATTGATTGAAGAAGGAGTATCCAACAGCAATTTCAAAGGTGCTAGCAAGAGCAACAATTTCCACCCAATGAGTTAAGTAGTCAGAAGCAATAATAACATACTCATTGCCAACAGTTGATCGTGGAAAAAGTTCTATAAGATCAAATACCACTAACTCAAACAAATGAGAAATTACAATTGACTCTAATCGTCCTTCAATAGCACAAGGGGGAGTACTACGAACTTGGCACCAAACACAACTACGCATAAAATAAAGAAAGCCGTCTTCAAAGTGATATTGAGAATGTAAATGTCAGAATGGTAAGTCATTAGCAAGTGATGTAGGATTCTCAAACCCATCTCGAAGCTTTCGAATCCATGGCTCAATTTTTTGAGCTTTGCAAACTTCATCAAGACAAGGTAAATTTTGCTCTACACCTTGTAAACATTAAATGTCAAATACAGCAACTACTAATAGCACAGAATCCTCATCTAGAAATTCTATAGATGCTGGAATAATAGGCTCGTCAAAAATATTAGAAGAGAGTGAAAAAGGAAGAAGAGCTTGAGAAAGGGCATCAACATCAGCTATAGAACTCCCTGGGCGATAAACAATATCAAAATCATATATCTGAAATTTCAAATCCCACCAAGTAGTACAACCAACTAGATTATTCCACTTCAATAATGAACGGCAACATGATCACCTTCCAGTAATGTTTGAGAACTATGTAAATATGCATGAAGTTTCTCGAAACCTCAGATTGTTACTAAACACTCCTTCTTTGTCGTGGAATAGTTCACCTCTGTTAGTTGTAATGTACAGCTTATATATGTAACAGATGGCACTGACTAGGCACACTTAGCCTCTTTTGCATCAACACACCTTTAAGACCAATATCAGAAGTATTTATGTGCAAAATGAAATGTTGAATGTAATTAGAATATACCAAAACTAAAAGAGTTGTTAATAGCTCCTTGAGATCCATGAAATCCCACTCACAGTCTTCAGACTAAATGAAAGATGATGTTGATAATTTCAGCAACACTCACAATAGTGCAATGTGATCAGAAAGATGATCTATAAAATGACCAAGATATTACACTTTACCCAGGAAGTGTTCTACATCATTCACACACTTCAGAGTAGGGAACTTTAGAATAGTCACAAGTTTGCCATTTTTGGATCAACTTGCAAAACCTCACAAGAAATATAGTACCCAAGATAAGTTGTGTCCTTGGAACCAAACACGCACTTTGACCGCTTCAACTTTAAACTAACTTCCCATAGTTGATCTAACACTTTACAAATATCGGACGTGTTCCTCCCATATCCCTTTCGAGTGGATTAAGACATCATTGATGAAGTTATTAGTCACCTTCAACATATCATAAAGAACCTCATCCATCATTTGTTGGAAAGTTTCAAGAGCATTGTTTAAACCAAATGGCATCACCAAAAACTCATACAAACCAAATGGTGTACGAAAAGCTTTCTTAGGAATATCTTCTTTGCATATCGGTACTTGCCAATATCTAGAAGCAAGATTTAGCTTGGTGAACCAATGACTTCTCCCCAGACGATCCAAGAGATCAGTAATGTGGGGAAGAAGGTACACATTCGGGATCGTCCCTTCATTTAACGGATGATAGTCAATGTAGAAACGAATACTTCCATCAAGCTTCATCACAAGATGAGGTTCATATGCTCAAGGACCTTGCAACTTTCAAATAACACTTTTTTCCAACATCTTCTTGATGTTTGTACGTAAAATCTTGATCTCTTTGGGTGACCGATGACAAATAGGAACCTTGATTGGATGAGCATCCCCAGTTGGAATCGAATGACATGTGACAATCTTGGCCCCAGACAATACGTCAAATTCAAAAAGATCGGCATACTCCTTCATAAGCTAGTCAACTGTTGCAACACAAATACCATTAGAAGGATCAAAAAAGGGAAGAGCGAAACAAGACAAAAACATAGAAGGAAGTAATAGAGAGACAAAAGTAATGGAAGTAGAGGTAGAAACAGAGGGATGAAGAGGTACGAAAGTGAGAGGAATGGATGAAATATAAAGAAGTATGAGATAAAGGGGAGAAACCTCAAAGTCACACTTTGCATGATTGTGCTGTAATTAATTTATACCAAGGATGAGGTCAAAAACTTGACTCGGCACCACCTGCAATAACTGCAACTTAAGTTCAAGATCGCCCATATGCACAACTAA